TGGTGGAATATTCTGCATGCACAGCCTTGATGTAGGGGAATGGTCTTGGACCTGCCTCAACTGAATGTACCAGGCTCTGCTGAACCCCCATGTGAGGCTTTGCCTTTGAGGAGGTAGGAATGGGGGGGTTTGAGGGGAAAGGCTTGGGGGCAGGAGGAGGGAGGAGAGGAGAATCCGTGGTTGGTATGTAAAATGAATAGAAAATTTCTTAATAAAAAAAGAGAAAATGTATTTTTGTAACAAAAAACAATAGCAAAGAAAAGTTGCCTGGGATGACAAAAAGCTATATATAATCCATATTTCCTTTCTGTATGGTTAGTTTTTTTAACTATAAAATGTTATTCTGCAATAAAGAGGAACAACTCTTGCATGAAAAAAAGTTACTAGAATAAAGTGTTTACTTCCTTTCTTTAAGGTTTCCAATCTAAATCTGAGTAAAAATAAATTGAGGATTTTTTTTACATACAATGACTCAGTAAAACAATAAATTGAGGATTTTTCACATAAAATGACTCAGTAAAACAAATAATTGTTCTCAAAAGTTCCCCCGACACTAGCCATAAATCCTCCTGGTTCTACAATTAAAAAACATTTCTTTAAGCGTTTGAAACCCTTTTGAGTGGATGATGATTTGAATGAGGAAAATGTCATTCTGATTATCGTCCTCAGCTATTTTGAGATATCCTAAACACATAATTACATTTATTTATTTAACAGGAAAAATGCTGCCTGTGCTTTTAAGAACTGGGACTTATTTATGCTTACTCAAAGTTTATGGGTGTTTAAAAAGAACCACACTTCAAACTACAGGGAGAAAGAAAACATCCCAAGGCAGTAGCAACAATACCACAAGCAAACAACAACAAAAATAAACAAAATAAAACCCAGACCAAAAAAAATCTTAAAACTTTCAAAAACTGTAAAGTCAGAATTGTCAGAAAATGTTTCACTTTTTTGTGTAGCATAAAGTTTAAATTTTTAAAAATAAAAAACCATAATCCCTTGTGTGGTTTGGATGACAGTAGCTGGTATGTTTACACACTTAGTCCACTGTTGGTTGAATACTTTGGGAGGAAGGATTAGGAAGTCTGACCTTATCAAAAGAGGTGTATCACTTTCAAAAGACACCCACCATCCCCAGTGTGCTCTCTGATTCCTGCTTGTTGAAACATGAGAACTCTGTTGCTCCTGTGAGGATTCCTTCACTATGCCATTATGAACTATCTATAACCCTTTGAAATTGTAAACCCCATTACCACTTTCTTTTGTAAGGTGCCTTGGTCATGGCGTTAGTGGCAGCAGTAGTAAAGTAACGAACACGAACTCCACAGCAGGTTTCAAGTGTACAGCGCAGAACTGTTATCTGCACCACTGCAAGAGTGGGTGGGAAAATGAAGAGATGATGGCCATGGGCCACATAATGTACCTTCAATAGATGAGGGCATTCCCAAGATCTGTGGGCACCATGATTTCAGTGCATAAAAATTTTGAAATGGGCAGGAGGAAGGAAGAGAAGGAAATCTGCCATTGGTGCATAAAATAAATAAAAATGTCTTAATAAAAATATTTTGAAATGGTGAGTTGTGGGATTCATTGGAACCTTGTTTGGGGCTGTGTTAAATTCTGGAACTCAGCCTGGTGATAGTTCATGCCTTTAATCCTACCACTCAGAGAGTCAAAGGCAAGCAGATCTCTGTGAGTTTGAGGTCAGATTGGTCTACAGAGTGAGTTATAGGACAGCCAGAGCTACACAGAGAAAACCTGTCTCAAACACCCAAAAGAAAACAACCCTCTGGGTCTTACTTCACAGTTTTCCGCGACACCTGTGATTACCATATTGTGGTGAGCAGATGCTGTGTGGCCAACAAGCATTGGGCTTTCAACAGGGTGCACTGGGGCCACAGTGACCACATTCTGCTCACTTATCAATAGTGATCAGATTTTGCCTGCTGTGCTGCAGACAGAAGGAGCATGCTCCTCTCAGAGACTTTCCTGTCAGCCTGGCTGAGTCCTTAGTTCTCAGAAGAAGTATGAATCAATTTTGTTGATCGTGTCTCCACTTGGGACTAGTCAAACTAGAAAAAAAGATTTGGTAGCCTTCTTCCTTAGCCTAAAGCAGACTTTGCAACAGTGTACGTGCCCTCTAACTATATCATTACAATTCTATAAATTATGTACACAAGATCTCCCCATGTTTATTCCACAGAGCATCCACAGAGACGGTGATAACTGGTTGAATTCATGCTCAGTCCATGTTCACCTTGATAAGGAAATAGATCACAGTGCTTACAAAAGAATATTTTAAAGTTAGATGTCTGGACCTATTTATAACTCTATTTGTTTTTTTCAGTCCTTTTTATATTAAGAATTTTTTTTATTAATTTTACATACCAATCACGTATGCCCCTCTTCCTACCTCCCTCCCCTCCAGTCTTACCCCCAATCCACTATTCCCTACTCCAAAAATGCAAGGCATCCTCTGGGGAGTCAGCAGAGCCAGGTATATTCAGTAGAGGCAGGTCCAAGCCCCTCCCCCTACATCAAGGCTGTGCACAGTATCCCACCATAGGTAGTGGGCTCCAAAAAGGCAGCTCACGCACCAGGGATAGATCCTGATCCCACTGCCAGGGGCTCCTTAAGCAGACCAAGCTACACAATTGTCTCCCAGTCCCATGGAGGCTCCACAGCTGTTGGTCTAAAGTTCATGAGTTCCCACTAGTTTGGTTTGGTTGTCTCTGTACATTTCTCCATTATGATCTTGATACCCTTTATTCATAAAATCACTCTTCCTTCTCTGCTACTGGACTCCTGGAGCTGGGCCTGGTGCTTGGCTATGAATCTCTGTGGATCTCTGCATCTGCCTCCATCAGTTATCCAATGAGAGCTCTATTGTGACAGTGAGGGCATTCACCAATCTGATTACTGGGGTAAGCCAGCTCTCACTATTGCTAGTAGTCTAAGGTGGGGTCATCCTTGTGGATTCCTAGGAACTTCCCTTGTACCTGGTTTCTCCCTGTCCCCATGATGTCTCCCTATATCTAGGTAACTCTTTCATTGTTCTCACATTCCATCCCTGTTCCAGATCAACCATCCTGTTCCCTTATGTTCTCATTCCCCATCCCTTACCTTCTATTGGTCCACTCACCCTTGGTTTACTCATGGAGATCTCATATAATTACCCTTTCCAGGGATCTGTGGTTAGTATGTAAAATTAATTTAAAAAATAAATGCATAAAATTTCTTAAATAAGAAATTAAAGATTCAATGAAACAAAGAGTTGGTTCTTCGAGAAAATCAACAAGATAGACAAACCTTGTCAGGCAGTGGTGGTGCACACTTCTAATCCCAGCACGCAGGAGGCAGAGCCAGGTGGATCTCTCTGAGTTTGAGGCCAGCCTGGTCTACAGAGCAAGATCCAGGACAGACACCAAAACTACACAGAGAAACAAAAAATAAAAAATAAAGATAGACGAGCCTTTGTCTGAACTAACTAAAATAAAGACAGTTTAATATCCAGCTATACCACTACTGGGCATTTACCCAAAGGATGCTCCATCTTACCACAAAGAAACTTGCTCAACTATGTTCATAGCAGCTTTCTTCATAATAGCCAGAATCTTGAAACAACCTAGATGTCCCTCACCCAAACAGCAGATAAAGAAAATGTTGTACATTTACAAAATAGAGTATTACTTTGATGTTAAAAACAAGGACACCAGGAAATTGGAAGACAAATTGAAGGAGCTAGAAAAAAAATCATCCTGAATGTGATAACCCAGAACCAGAAAGATAAACATGCTATGTACTCACTTATAAGAGGGTATTAGCTGTAAAAAAAAAAAAGGATAATCATGCTACAGTACACAGACCCAGAATGACTAGGTATGAAGGAGGACTCAAGGGGAGACAGGTGCAGCTCCATGGGAAGGGAAAATAGGAGAGATCTCATGGGTGGATTGGAGTCAGGTGGCCTTAGGAACATGAGAGATTGGGTTTAGGGGTGGGAAACTGAGAGTACTGAAAGAGACTACTGGAAATTTATGGTATCTCTGGGTCAGGTAGAAAATGGGTGCAAGGGAAACTCTCAGAAATCTACTGGAAGGACCCCAGCTAAGACTCCTAGCAATAATGGATATATATCCTGAATTGACCATCTCCTGTGACCATGCAAGACTTCCAGTGGAGAAACTGGGATACTAACCCAGCTCAATAACCTTTGCACTACAGTTACTCCTGCCTATAAGAAGTGCTCAGTTAAAAGTGGTGCAGAGATTGTGGGAATGTCCATCCAATGACTGGTCCATCCTCAGACTCATCCCACAAGAGTGAGCCTTTCCCTGACACTGCCTGGAGTGCTAGAACTCAGAGACTGGACAACCCAGCATCCTAGGATAGAACCAAATATGAATGAAAAAAGATGTAAAATAAATGAATGAATCAATTTATTTTTCAAGTTATCATAATGATGCTTAATGATATTCTGCTATACTCATAGATTAGTGCCTATCCTAACTGTCATCAGTGAGGCTTCATCCAGTAACTGATAGAAACAGATACAGAGAACATCACAAAAAAAACCCACAAAAGCAACTAACTTGGTCACATAGGGTCACAGCGTCTGAACCAACAAAAAGAAAGCCTCCAAGGGACTGATCTAGTGTTCAAATGTGTAAAAGAATAAAGCAAACACTCATTTAAATTTGTATTTGTTCTTTTAAATATCCATACATGTGTACTACCACCTGGACCTGAGTGTGTTGAGGACAGATGAGGCAGACATTTATGGGGTTGTGAAAATTCCATCTGTGTAAAAATTGCAGAGTCTATTCCCTGACCTAGCCACAAAATTGGGGAAGTTAGAGCCAGGTTCATGAGCAGGGTAGTTCCCCTTCCTGTGAGTTTCCTGAAAAACAGCCTCAAAAGGCCACACACTGTTTCCTGTCCCTTCAGATAGGTATTGTATATGGACAAGTACATTTGTAGCTCCTGAAAAAGGTTACATGACTTTAACCTTCAAAGCTCTGTTATGTCTAGGTGAGATATGAAGAGGGGGAGGTGATTATAGTGGTCTAAATTACTCTGCCCCATGGCCCAGAACTGGCCCACCAGGAAACACCAGGGTCTCAGGAATTTTTGCAGAGGTGAGGATATGCTCAAGATTCAGAGGCAAACCTCTCACAGGGAACACTACCAGGATTTACTCTGGGTCTCAGGACCCCAGTGCTGGCAGGTGAGTATCCACAGCTGTCCTGGTATGCTTCTGTCATCATACACAAGAGCCATGCCTGGGCAGTGTAGATGGAAAAGAACATGTGTGGGGTGATCCTGGGGTGTTTGGAGGGCTGTGAAATTCAGTCCTGCATTCTGAAGATGGATATCCTAAATTCAAACTGCTCATTTTCTTTCAGGGACAATGCCTAAGCCCATCCTCAGAGCACAGCCACATTTCATACTTTCCCAGCAAACTAAGGCGACCATCTTGTAGGAGAGGACATCAGGAGTCAAATACTACTACACCTACAGAAAGGAAACCATATCAGTGGTGCAAACAGTTTTCACTTCAGCTTAGGAACAAGAAGGAAACCGAAACAGTATCCTCTGAATGAGCAGCCAATGATTTATCCACTGAGGCAACTCTCTAGCCCTTGATCTTGTTTTTGAACTGTGAGGATAACTATAAGTTCAGGTAGGAACTTTATATCACAACCAGATAAAAGGGTGACTATGAGGAAACATGAGAAGGTGAATGTGGTTGGAGAATGTCCTAGGAATCTGCCTCTGATTTCAGGATGGGAAATTCCCCAAACCAATAATTTGGCCTGAGCCACACACTGTGAGACCCTTTGTGGATTCCATGACTCTTTGGTGTCTAGGAACTTTGGAAGTCACAATCATACACTCTTTGGAGAAGAAAATTCAAGATTTGGGGCAAGATAAGCTGAACTTCATCTTAGGACCAAAACCAACTTTACAGCCTTTTACATGAGAGCTGAATATACATGTCTATATTGTGTTTCCATCATAGAAGTACTGTCTTGTCAGAAAGCACTGACACCTGTACTTCATGATGACAGAGGAAAGGACATACAGTGGTACCATCACCAACCCTGCCCTAAAAGAGAAAAGGTCCTGTTCTCAGGAATCATCATCCAAGTACAGTATTAGATGATGCTACCTGTGTCTAGAACTCTACAGTATACTGAGCCTATCAGCCTTGACCAGCCCGTTAGTGACATGGGAAGGGACTCTGACATTCCAGTGTTGGTCACAGTAAAATCTTGGAAGCTTCTTTCAGTCCAAGGGAAGAGAACACACCATGAGTGTTCTTGCACCTTGAACTTACACCAAAACTATAAACACACAGCATGTCCATCCTGGGCCAACAAATGCTGACCCACAAGGGCTCATGTAGATGTTCCACTTACTGCAAGACTAAAAACCACAGTTGTTGTCAATGCCCAGTAATATCCTGTAGCTCCAGGTCAAAGGTGAGGAAGTTCGAACCCTGAACCACCTACTTCAAGACCTGAAGGTCTTTCCAATAGCTCTGTACTAAGGAGAGCCACAGATGGAATTTGACTGAATGCATCTGAGTTCTCATTTGCCAGTGTGTGAGATAAGGGGAAACTTGAACCAGAGGATGGAAGAGGGCAGATTTAGGGTAAGAATGAACCCAATGCCTGTCTTTACAGGAGGGATACCCAGGAGATCATCACTAGTGGCCCCAAAATAATCTGTCCTAGGCCATTTGAGAGACTGATAGTCCAGCGTCTCTTTGATATCCAAAGATGGAGAAACTGATGTCACTGTGTGCCCTGGACAAAAGCTTCGGCTGTGTTCTTTCAGTATGACTTCCTCTTGGGCTCTGTGAGCAGCTGGAGGGCAGTAAAAATGCTACAGTGCACAGAGTTCTCTCTCTCTCTCTCTCTCTCTCTCTCTCTCTCTCTCTCTCTCTCTCTGCTCCCAGTGAGCTGCTGAGCTTTCTATCATAGAAGATGAGCCCAGCAGATGTAGTCAGAACTCTGGACACACAGATGCCACTGGGAAATTCCACATGGTGATGACCATAAAAAAGCTTGGATTCCTGGAGAGAGAAAGTTTGAAAAACAGAGCAATGGGAAAAGAAAAATAATAACAGACAAGGAAGTCCTCAGAAACAGGGCATGGTGAGATAGCTGAGGAAATGTAAGAAGCTATTTGAGCACCCTTCTTCTCCCTCACATAGTTCTCTATACAGCCTTCTCTGTCGGTGCAGCCAGGCCTGATGATGTCCTTAGGAGAAAACATGACCCTGAAAATTCCATCAAGAAACTGGGTGGAAATTTCTTCCCTTTTAGGGATAAAATAAAAACTTGACCTAAATATTAGCAGGAAACACACCCTGGCATGTGGATGGAATGATAGACATGATCAACATGAGCATAGCATAATCCAGAATTCAGGATTGTATTAAAAATATATGTGTCAAACTCTCTCTCTCTCTCTCTCTCTCTCTCTCTCTCTCTCTCTCTCTCTCTCTCTCTCTCTCTCTGTGTGTGTGTGTGTGTGTGTGTGTGTGTGTGTGTGTG